TGGAATCGAACCCGGGACCCTTCAGTCCGCAGGTCAATGCTCTATCCACTGAGCCAAACTCACCAGGGCTGCAGTGTTATTTACAACAGCCAAGATTTGCAAGCAGCTCAAGTGCCCATCAGTAGATGAGTGGATAAAAAAAGCTGTGGTACATTTACACAGGGAATTACTCAGCCATAAAAAAAGAAGGAAATCGGGGGGCGGGGGGCATAAAAACACATACGTAATACCTTAATCAATAAAGAAAAAAAAAGAAGAAGGAAATCTTACCCTTTGCAACAGCATGGATGGACCTGGAGAATATTATGCTGAGAGAAATAAGCCAGTCAGAGAAAGACAAGTACCATATGATTTCACTTATTTGTGGAATCTAATGAACAAAATAAACTAACAAACAAAATAGATACAGAGAACAGACTGACAGCTGTCAGAGAGGAAGGGGTTGGAGGCTGATGAAAAAGATGAAGGAATTAAGAAGAAAAAAACCCCTCATAGACACAGACAACAGCCTGGTGATTACCAGAGGGAGAGGGGCGTTGGGGGAGGTAGAAGAGGGTTAAGGGGGGATAAATGGTGATGAAAGGAGATTTGACTTGGGGTGGTGAACACAACACAATATACAGATGATGTTTTATAGAACTGTACACCTGAAACCGATATAATTTTATTAACCAATGTTACCCCAATAAATTCAATTTGAATAAAAAAGGGAGGGCCTGGAAGCCACAGAGAATGTCTCCTGTCCACATCTGCAGCCTCGGCCCTGCCTGGTGGGGACCAGGCCTGGTCGTTTCCCTGGGTGATGGCAGCCCCTCTGCCTCTCAGAACCCCGAGGGCCAGCTTCCTGTTTTGTTTCAGTGAAGGGTATGGCTCTCGCCCGACACCACAGGTAGTGACTGCGGAGACCAAGAGCACAGACCTGGGCTCTGCCTTGGTGTCCACGGCTGGGCTGGGCTGGGCTGTGACTTCCTCAGGCAGAGGCCATGTCTCTCACCTTCACGGCCCCACCCCACTCAGCAGGTGGCAAGTCCTCAACACTTCAGGAGTCTAAGAGGTGAAAGGATCACCCTCCTCTGCCTCCCTCACTTCCTCTTGCCGGGGGAGTAAAATCCAGCCTCCCCAGCAGCTTCCCTGACCCCCGCTCAGTCCCTTCTCGCCTCTTCTCCAGCACGCAGTCTGCCTCAGGGCTACTTGCCCCCTTCTCTCCTGACTCAACCCTCCTCACCCTCCACACTTCTGCCTAAACACCAGAGGCCCTTCTACCCAAGCTGAATCAGATCTCCACTGTCACTCTTAGTCCCAGCACCCTGCTGTCCGCTGGAGTACAGACCACCACTGGAAACGATAGAGGTCTGTGTGCGGTGACTTGTTTGATGCTGGCAGATTGCAGACACCCTGAGGGCCAGGACTGCTCTGCTCTCCTGGCAGCACCTCAACAATGTTACCTGCCTGGATGGTGTGGCTCAGTAGTTGAGCATCGACCCAGGAACCAAGAGGTTGCCAGTTCGATTCCTGGGCAGGGCACATGCCCGGGTTGAGGGCTCAATCCCCAGGAGGGGTGCGTGCAGGACGAAGCCAATCGATGATGTTCCTCTCTCATCAGTTTCTATCTCTCTATCCCTCTCCCTTCCTCTCTCTCTAATAACCAATAAAAACATTTTTTGTTACTTTTTTTTCCCTTTTCCCATAAAAACATTTTTTTATATATTTTATTGATTTTTTTTTTACAGAGAGGAAGGGAGAAGGAGAGGGATAGAGAGTTAGAAACATCGATGAGAGAGAAACATCGATTCAGCTGCTTCCTGCACACTCCCTACTGGGGATGTGCCCACAACCAAGGTACATGCCCTTGAGCGGAATCGAACCTGGGACCCTTCAGTCCGCAGGCCGACGGTCTATCCACTGAGCCAAACTGGTCAGGGCCCAATAAAAACATTTTTAAAATAATGTTTACGTAAAGCCCAGGTTAGATGAAAGAAGAGATAAACATCCTCAGGTAGCACCGGCCGAGCTGCCCAGCCGAAGTGGGCCGCCGAGTGACAGAGAGAATGAAGAGAGGTCAGATGTGGGTGGGTACAGTGGCCGCCCAGAGGCCAAAAGGACGCAGTCCTGGAAAAGCCCCATGACTCCCGGGCTGGGAACCCGTCGGTCTCCTGCCCACACCAGGGGGGCGGGTCTGGGGAGCAAAGCCTAAATGCCTAGCCCCGGGCCCTGTCATTAATCCCGACTGTCCAGCCGGCAGGGCAAAAAGAGCTCAGCAGCCACAGAGAAAGGGGCTCTTTCTTTCCTTCTCCCACCTCACCACGCTGGGACCAGTGCTGTGTCTGCGGCCAGATTCTGGCTGGAGTCCCAAGAAAGAGCTCTGAGAACCTTTCAACAGGTTCAGGCAAAGTTTCTTTAGAGGACAAACCAAAGCATCAGTCCTCAAAGCAACAAAAAGCTGACAGATTTGCATCTCAATCAGCTGTAGGCTGGTCCCCCTTTCACAAGTCTAATTCAATAAGTGGCTTAACTGCTCCTCTGCAAGGCAGCCATCCACCCAGTTTGAGAATATTAGACCTCAGCAGAAACCTTGTCCCTGAATCCTCCAGGCACTCCCAGTCAGGCACCGGGATTCCTGCCTGAAAGGCACAGGCTGCTTGGACTCCCAGAAGCCAGGAACAGAGAGGCCAGAGAGATAAGCTGTGTGGAATCAGCAGGCCTGCCGCGGAGGATGCTGAGTCAGAGGGTTTGCCAGAGAGTCAGAGAAACCAAAATCAGAAGCAGGGGCAAAGGCATGGGATAAGAGGTTGATGTTCAACCCACATCCTGACCCTTCACCTTCATCTTCACTTTGGGTTACCAGGGGGGCCAGTCAAGCCTTAAAGGCTTAACTACTAACTCAGCACTAGGTTGGCACAAGCTCTAGGGCTCCTCCCACTTGAAGGAAGTAGCCAAGGTTGAGGCAGGAATGAAGTGACCAGCCCCAATGCTGCCAATACCATAAAGTAAATTAAATCAGTGGACAAACTCAGAAGAACCCTAGAATCTGACCTTCTAATACCAAGTGGGTAAAAAGAAAAAAAATTGAATATAGCAGTCCTCCAGCGTGAACAAGATGATAAAAGCTTCATCTGTGGATGATGACGTTTTTTCCTATGTTTTAAACTTCTGTGTAGCCTGAGAGAGCCCAGGGAGGCGAGCGGAAGGGTCATGATCTAAAAGGGAGGAGAGAGGGAGGGAGAGGAGGAGCCAAATACTCCAACCTGTTCCTTCCAGAGTCATTAATCTAACATTTCTTGGACAGAATAGAAAGCTTGTGTAAGGAACAAGGTCTGAGTGACTTTCCCATCTCCCAAGATTTCTTGCTGACATGGGGAAAGTTCTGCCAAGAACCCTCAGGCTATCAGGAAATATTTCTGAGTGGCTAAAGGCTAAAGGTTCTAAATGATACACTCCCTGCCCTGCCAGTAGCCTGTGCATTCCCCGCCTCCCCCACCCAACACACACACTCCCTTTCTCCTGCCCTAAACCCCTCCAGCTATGCTCCCCAGAGACTGGAACACTCAGGAATATCCTGGGAAGATCAGAGAAGAAAAGCAGGGAGGACTCTACATGGAGTTACATGAGCTGGTTCAAAACTTTTTCTTCCCTCAAAGTAAGAACTCTCGAAAGACAAAGCATGCTGGTGGTGTGATCAGGGGGTCAAGCTTGGGCTATCTCTGTCTAAAGCAGCGGTTCTCAACCTGTGGGTCGCGACCCTTTGGGGGTCGAACGACCCTTTCACAGGGGTCGCCTAAGACCATCGGAAAACACATATATAATTACATATTGTTTTTGTGATTAATCACTATGCTTTAATTATGTTCAATTTGTAACAATGAAAATACATCCTGCATATCAGATATTTACATGACGATTCATAACAGTAGCAAAATTACAGTTATGAAGTAGCAACGAAAATAATTTTATGGTTGGGGGTCACCACAACATGAGGAGCTGTATTAAAGGGTCGCGGCATTAGGAAGGTTGAGAACCACTGGTCTAAAGGGACTCGGGTAGGGGCGGGCTGACAAAGGCCCCGGGGAAAGGCATTACTGATTCAATCAGGGTGAACTGCTGGAGACAGCAAGAGGGCAGAGGAAAATGCTTCCTATCAAGATTGTCTAGGAAGCGGGTAGGAGGTGGAAATTGGGAGTCACCTGAGTTCCACGGTTGGGCTGAACCTACTGACATCAACGATTAGGACCTTCAAACAGGGCTGGGAAGTATGATGGTGGGAATGGGGGTTTGATTTCTTGTAGACCAGCATCCTCAGCCTGCATCTGGCAACACCAGCGATGTGGCAAAGGGAAAGGACAGACCTGGTGCCATTTTTATAAGTTCCCCCTCTTCTCCTCCCCCTCACCCCCACGGACACAGAAGACCACTGAGACGTTCTCACAGTGGGAGGAAAAGTCCATTGGAAAATCATAAAGCAGCAAAAATAGACAAGAAATGGTATCTAACATGACTTTAAAAGACTCCATAATGATCTGACTAAAAAACATCTAAATTCTAGATGAATCTTCCACCGGATGGAGGCCAAGCCACTTCCTCTCTCTCTCTCGTTACACCCCAGCCACTGAGTCAGGAGTTCCTTTTTCTACAGTCAGGGAGCAACATGCTTCATGCCAGGCACGCGATGTGCCAGGCCCGGGGCGGAGGTGCCCAGCAGTGTTCCCAGGGGTGGAAGGAATGCCCTGGACTCAGGGGTTCTGATTCTAGGACGGCTCCTAGCTGTGTGGCCTCGGGCAAGTCAGAAGATCTGTCGGGAGTCTCAGTTTTTTCATCCATAAAACGGGGACCGTGCTATGGACCCAGGAGAGCTGCATGAGGAGCAAACAGGCCTTTTGCTGGCTGGGGGGCGCTGCGCAGCAAGGTGGTATCGCGGGCCAGGTCTGTGCCGCCATCTCGCCCTCCCTCTCCAAAAGCTCCCGCTCCGGGATCCTCCCCGACCGAGCCCGAGGCGCCCGTCTCACCTGGCTCCGTGCACAGGTAGGAGTAAAAGCCCTCCGACTTGAGCATGATGAGCAGCGAGCCCCAGCCCAGGAGGACTGCCGAGAAGAGGAGGTTTTCCAACACCGCGGTGCAGGCCATCCACCAGCGGCGCCGATGGGCAGTGGCCAGGGTGGGCGCCATGACGCGGCGAGGTGGCCCGGCTCCGGCTCTGCAGCCACCTGCGCACAGACCTCAGCGTCAGCGCCCGGCCCTGACCGGTCGGGGAGGCCGAGCCCGGCCGCTGCAGCAGCGCGGAGCTTGCCACCCCTCCGCGGCCCCGGCTGCAGGTGCGCGCGGCAAAGGGAGCCCGGGTCTTGCCCGGGACCTGGGCCACCCACCGCGGCTGACTTCCACGGCTGCCCTCGGAGATGAGGGAGCCGCTCCGGCCAGGCAGGCAGACTTCTCCCTCGGCTCACTCAGAGGTAAACTGAGGCACGCTAGCAGGAAGGGACTAACGCAAGCTCAGGGACGTGATTCGTCCTGGCTCCCAGCATGACTGACATAGCTTGGGTGTCTGCAGGGGCGGCAGCCTGAGATCCAGACACCTGGGCCCGGGCGTACCTGGGGGCGGCCACTCCCTCGGACCCTGACAGGCGCCCGCCCGCCCGCAATGGAGACCCTTCCCCAGAGCTGGTTCTTTCAACCACAAGATCAGCGCACCTAGCTCCTACGGTCCGCCCACGGCTCGCTGATTGGCCGGACGGCACAGGAACTGCCGCGCCATTGGCCGCAGCCTAGGTCGCTAGGCGCTGCGGCCACGCGAACCCCGCATGGGAGAAGCGAAGCCGGTTCAAACCGGCGGCGCGGGCCACCTGCGCGACCCCCGTCCTGAGCTGCACTTGGCCCGTTTCGATGGGAGCGGACCTCCGCTCCTCCATTTCCTTCCTCCTCCTAAATTCCTCTCTCCTGTCGGCTCCCCATCCATCCAATCTCTTCCCTCTCATATTTTCACACATCTTCTCCCTACTCCCCCGCCTCCGCCCTGCTCGCAAGCCTTCTGCCCCCGGCGCCCTCCCCCGAGACCCAGATTCCCAGGATCCAGCTCACCCGGTTCCTACTGACGTGTGTCGGGCCCGGCCGGCGCCTTTTCTGTCCTCTTTTATTACAGCCCTTTTATTAGGACCCCGAGACGAAAACACTGCTGCGCGCTGATTGGCTGAGTGGGCTGGAAACAGGCGTTGGCCAATCAGTAGGCACCCGCCCGCCCGGCCGCAAGCAGAAGCCGGTTCCGGCCGGACTCCGAGGCAAACAGGAGAACTGGGGGTGCTCTGGGCCGAGCCTCTGCTCCGCCACCTTAACCTGGAGTCACAGCCGGGCTGGACACCCCTGGAGACACTGCCCTAGCGCCTCTCCGGAGCCCCACCCCGAAGCCTTGCCCTGGGTGGAGTCTCGGGCCCGGCCTGCCCGGCCCCCAGATGTCCCCAGCATCACTCCGACCCCCTCGAGCACCCCGCTCGGCTTCTGCGCTCCGCTCTCAGCCCCGCCTTACAGCCCCCCAACTTCCCGAACTCTGCGCTGGCACCAGGCCTCGATGCTCTGGCTCCCCGTGGGTCGCTGCACTCCCGCCGCCCGCACTGCCTCCTCCCAGCGCAACCCATCCTGCTTCCTCCTGCCCCAGTCTCCCCCCATCCAGGCAACGTTGGCCCATTCCGGATCTGCGGGCCCCAAGCGCGCTGTGCCTCTTCCTGTTCTCCTGATCCACCGACCCCGCTCCTGGGTGCCATCTGCCCGGTCCCTCGGGGACCCCCAGGTGGGAGTTTGGGGCTTGTCTGTCCCCTAGCACGGTGTCTCCCCTGTTGGCCCATCCAGACTCTGACCCACTCCCCTTGGCGCCTCGGGAACCCTGCCCAAGGTGACTACCCATACCCACTGTCTGCTCCACCTCCGCCCCTTTCCCGGATGCCTTCCTCAGGGGCCATCTTCGGGGTGGCGGGCTGGGCAGCGCCCGTCTGCAGGGACAAATCAGGCCTCGGGGAGAGGCGTGGAGGGAGGGCTCCAGCTCCCAGTCTGGTAGGCCAGCTGGACCTGCCAGAACTGCCAGGGCAGGGGATGGAGCCCGGGCTCCGGGATTTCTGCTGCCCGTCTTCGTCTCTCCGGTCAGAGACACCAGCCTGACCTTAGAGACCCTTGGTCTTCCCGATGATCAGCTTGGTCTCCCCCGCAGGCAGGCTCCCCGAGCTGGCTTATCCCAGGGCTGCGGAGCCCGGGAGTCCTCTGTGCCATGTCGCCCAGTCCGAGAGCGCCCTCTGCCGCTGCGAAGCCGCCGCTGGCACCCTGGTTCAGACCATCGTAGCCAGTGGTCGAACTCCCAGTTTCCTGGTCAAACTTCTGATTGAACGACCCCCAGAGGGGACAATTTGCATATTAGGCTTTTATTATATAGGGATGTTTCTCTCCCTCCCTCTCCCGTCCTCTCTGAATCAGTAAAAATTTATATATATATATATATATATATATATATATTTAAAATCTGACCTTGGTCAATCTGATCTCTGCTAAAAATCAGTCAGAAACTCTACCATTTGTCTTCCAGGATAAAGTTCAAGTTCTCCAACCTGACCCACACAGGCTCCTTCCTCCCACCAGTCTCTTTCTCCCCATGGAGGCTGGTTGACCTGCCTGGTCCTAGATGCTCCCATCACATGCTGTTCTCTCACCTCTGGGCCTCAGAGTCCCTTTTTGGACAGCTCCTCCAGGAAGCCTTCCCTGACTACTCTCCACAATACTTTCCATTATCTTTGTTCACTGATTTTGTTATATATCTTTAATATCTTTGAAATATATAAATCACTGAGAAAAGGGTGAATACCTCAAATGAAATTGGGGAAAGAAAACAACCAGATAATCTATAGGAAAAATACAAATAAAGATTTGAAAAGAAGCTCAATCTTAGAATAATCATAGAAAATCAGATTTTAATTATACCATTTTTATGGTTAAAAAGCAAAAATAAAAATATTTTTATCGCCGAAACCGGTTTGGCTCAGTGGATAGAGCGTCGGCCTGCGGACTGAAAGGTCCCAGGTTCAATTCTGGGCAAGGGCATGTACCTTGGTTGTGGGCACATCCCCAGTATGAGATGTGCAGGAGGCAGCTGATCGATGTTTCTCTCTCATCGATGTTTCTAACTCTCTCCCTTCCTCTCTGTAAAAAAATCAATAAAATATATATTTTTTTAAAAAAATATTTTTATCTGATCAAAGCTTTAACCTTTCCTAAAACTATGGTTCTCAATAAAAGTGACTCAATGAAAGAAAGAAAGAAAAAAGCTTTGACCTATTACTTTCTTCTTGTTGCCCTAAAATAATGAAATACCATCTTGAACTTGTCAGATTGGGAGTGAGAAAATAGATACCACCATAATTTGTGAGAGTATAAAGCCATACAACTTTTTTGGAGGGCAATTTGGAGTAAATACATAAATGTTTAATGTTCTGACTCCATAACACAGCAATTCCACTTGCAGGAATCTCTTCTACAGAAAAACTTGCACAAATATATTTAAAAAATGGACAAAGTTGGACACAGCATCATTTATAGTCTTAAACAATTAAAAACAACCCAACTCCCTAAATGTAGGGGATGGTTTACATAATCCGTGTTATTTCCACATGATGAAATCCCATGTAGCCATTTTTTAATACAGAGAGGTAGCTTTATATTTACTGGCACCAAAAGATATCCAGGACACATTAAGTAAAAAAGCAAATTGCAGAACAGCAGGCTCTTCTGTGTTCATGTGCACAGAAAGACATCTGAAAGGAAGCATCTGAACTTCCATGAGATTCTCTGAGCACAGGAACGGAGGGGAAACCGCTCTCTATTTCCTGACTAGGAAATGCAACGAGGTGAGGAAAGAATTCACGAACAAGAGCAAACGACATCCAGTGAGAAGTAAATCTGGCCCCTCCCTGGTCCCCCAGACTCCCCTGGGGAGAGGGAAAATCTCATTTTTACTTCATACATGTCCATAATGTTAGTTCTATTTATTTTTAACAAAGAACAGTACTTTAAAAAAAAAAGTCTAATCGAGTGAGAAAAGTAAAAAGAACATTCACTGTACAAAATATGCAAATTATACAAAAGTTTAAAAAGAAAATAAGCCCTGGCCAGTGTGGCTCAGTTGGAGCATCGTCCTTACACCAAAGGTGGCGGGTTCAATCCCTGGTCAGGGCACATACCCAGGTTGCGGGTACGAGCACATGGTCGGGGTGCCATGTGGGAGGCAACCCGTCGATGTTTCTCTCTCTCGCTCTCTTACACAACATAATTTTTCGTGGTTGTTTAGGAACCTAGCATAAAAAATATTTATTTAACCAATCTTTTATCATCAAACATTTAGGTTGTTTTCCATTTTAGAAAAATATTTTGCAAATGAAGGAAAGAATAGCCTTTTGGGGTAAGCAAAGTCCAGGACAACAGAAAAAAGTTCCTGCAGCCGTCTGGTTCCCCTTCCTGACCCCATCCCGTGGGGTCTCTGCCCAGGCCTTCCAGACCTTCCCTGGAACACCGCCAGGGCCCAGAGCCAACCGGCCTCTACCTCAGATGTTTCCCCACCAAGGGCAGAGGTTCTGGTAGGTCTTTCCTGGCCCTGGGACCTTTTTCCAGCACAAAATACAATCTGATGCAGAAGCAGTTCGATGCCTACCCCCCATCCATAGCCTTCCCACTCCCCAAATTCACAGTCCTCAGGGCTCCGGTGGCCTAGAGATGGGTGCAACATTCTCATACTGGGGCTCCTCCTGCCCTTCCTCATCAGCCAGCTTCTGGGGATCCTGTTTTGGGGGGCCACCGGGGCCCAGCTCCTGGACCCTCCCTGAGCTCTTGATGCCATCCCTCAGCCCACTGGCCACTTCCTCTGGCCCAGTTCCTGCAGGCTGCGAGGCCCCAGTGGGCTCCTCATTGGGGGCTGGGCCAGGGCTCTGACTGGCAGAGCCAGAGGCCAGCCCGGGTCTGCCCTTGTTCCGACTCAATGCCCGACGTGGAGGCTTGGGGATGGCACTCTTGACCTTGGGCTCTGCCTGGCCTTTCTGGAAGCTACCGAAACGGCGGAGGACAGACCGGACCGGGCCCTCAGATTCCCGGGGTGTCCCTGCCAAGGTGTATATTGTGGTTACGGAGCCTGAGCTCTCCTGGACACTGCTTTCGATGGCTTCCACGCGCTCAGCCACTGTCCGGCCACAAAGTGGGAGCCGGCGGTGGCCAGTGGCTGAATCCTTGGGGCTGGGTGCCCCAGGAGGGGCCTTGTCCCTTTCAGTGTTTTCAGGGCCCGTGGACTCCTCAGCCTCCTGGCTTTCAGGACCTGGCTGGCCACCCCGGGAGAGCCGCCTGGACTTGCGGAGCGGGTTGGAGAGCTCCCCCGAGCTTTGGCGATTCTGCGGTGCAAACTTGGTGCCTTCAGCAAAGGAGACCGAGGGTCGCTTGGCCCGTGCTAGGCTGGAAGTGCGTGGGATAGCGAATGGTGTGGAGGCATCCTCAGGGGGAGGGAAGGGGCCATCACCCAGGCTGGCCTCTGGTGACGCTGCTTGGGCCACAGGGACCATCCCTGGCGGAGGAGACAGAAGAGTTTGGCTAAAGCTGGGCTGGCCACCCCCACCCCTCCTGCCTACCCAGGGCAGCACCTTCTGGGAGGCGGCAACAACAGGGCAAAGTAGAGGGTGAGGATGCAAAGAGGCGGGAACATCAGTGTCAATAGACACTACTACTCCTCCATTCTATTCTCACCTCCCACCCTTCTTTGACTCAATGTCACACTCTATCCAAGCTAAAACTCTTCAATGCCACACAGCCATTCCCTCCCCGCTCTGGGCCTGTGTACACGGCTCCCTCCTCCTGAAACACCATTCCCACCTCTCCCTAACTTTCACGTGGCTAACTCGTGACTCTGCTGGACTCCACTCCCATGTCACTAACACTGAGACATCTTCCCTGACCCCAGTCTCCCCTGACATGGCTGGAGTATAGCCCCTCATGCATGTCCCCCAACCAAGCACATATCACTCTATCCTGTAAGGGTCTGGTTACGGCCCAGCAGACTAAAAGCTTGGTAAGGACGGGAATCTAGCTTGTCTCCATTTCATGAACCACAGTAGAAGACTATACACTTCATAGAAGTAGTACAACATAGGCAATGATTATATCGCTAGGACAAAGGGATCAGAAGGGTTCCCAGACACCCAAGCAGTATCTGAAGTAGCCCCAGTGGGCGATTGGGGCGGGGGGGCCCTACCTTCTTGGGGTGGCACGCAGTAGGCAGGATCCTCGTCCTCTTCTCCACAGTCGTAATCAGAAGAGAAGGAGTCGTCCGAGGCCCAGCCCGCAGAGGGCTGCTCAATGAAGCTGTGGTTGAAGGGGATCTCCGGGTCGTGGTGGGAGACTGCAGGGGGCTCCAGGTCAGGCGCCGAGCCTGGCGGGAAGCCGCGTCCCATTCCAGCCCCGACCCTCAGCGCCCGCCTACCTGTCACCCAGGGAAGCTTGTGGCTGCTGAGGGACCTGCAGGGCAGCGCGAAGCCCAGGCCGGTCAGTGTCTCCCACAGGACCTGGAGCTTCTTCCTGGACACAGCAGCTCCATCCCTCGCTGGCCTGAGGGCGTCGGAGGGTGGTCAGTGTGTGAGGCCCCTCCTTGGGGCAGGGTAGTAGCAGGAGAAAAGGGCCAGGCCCATCCTGGTCCTGGGGTTAGTGTGAGTGAGGAAGGGGGACAGAGTGGCTGTGTCCGCTTCAGTGGCTCCCTATGGCCACAGAGTAAAGTCCAAACTATTGAGCCTGAGATTTGGGCCTGCCACAGCGGGCAGCATGGCTCTAAAGTCAAATAGACCTGGGGCAGCAACTCTGCTCAAACTCTACCACTCTCTGGGCCTCAGTTCCCTCATCTGTATAATGGGGACAACTACAATCTGTCAGAGCTTTTTTCAGGACCCCCTACAGCACCAGGCACAGGGTGGGGTTCCCCAAAAGGCAGCTATGTGCTATCACCATCCTAGCAAAGTCCCAGCTCACCCGGCTTTCTGAAAACGACACCACCTCCAGGAAGCCTGCTGTCAGCTCCGGCCCCATGCTGGAAGTGACTGCTCCATTCCTACCATTCCTCTGACAGCCTTTGCACATGCCCGGGTCCTCATGTGAGGGGCTTCTTCCCCGCCCCGGGCTCTATGCCCCAGGGGACAGGCTACTGGGCCTGCTCATCTGTGAGGGCCCCCCCGCACACGTAGGGTGACGTACTTGAGGATTAGTGTGCGAACTGTAAGAGAGCACCGGACAGAGTCCAGAGAACAGGGCCAGGCTTTGTGTGTGCCAGTGGCCAACCGAGTCACCTTATCGGTGTCCTCTGTGCTGTGCTACTCCTCCTGCCCCCACGTTCCCTGCTCCAAACCTCCATGATGCGTTGAGTCTCCAAGGAGCAGAGAAACGGGAAGAGATTTTGTAAAGGAACGAAGCTCGTTAGGAGCAGCGGTCTCCAGCGGGCCGCAACACCAAACCCTTCCTCTTCTCTTCTGGGAAAGCCCCATTCTCTGCCAAACCACTGCCCAGACTTTTATGTCACTCTCCTTTCTGGGGGCGGTGAGGCCTGGTCTCTTCTGCTCCCAGCCCTAAGCTGCCCTGCTGCTTCTCCCCGTCACCCTCCTCCTCTGGCCCCTGTTAGTGCACCCTCAGCCTCCTGCTGTGGGTTCGAGTTTCACCAGCCGGGTGCCCCTGCGCATGTGACTCTCACCGAAGGCTTCTGAGGAAGGCAAGCGGCTGACCTGATGTCTCCAGGCCACTACCAACGACCCCATCACTTCTGACCTAAGTGTGTGACAAGGTCAGCCCTCCCCCACCCCTACAAGGAAAGCCAGTGTTCACCTGTCCTTGGGGTCCAACCGGGCAGCCCAACAGCAGCAGGCACAGCAGGCAATGCCCAGGAGGAGCAGCAGCAGAGGCACAAGGATGCCAGCGATGAGGGTGGCGTCCTGACTGTG